TAAACGCGGGGAACATAAATTAAATACATATCATACTAATAGGTGGCATTGTCTTAGGTAGAATTTTAATAAAAAATATTAGATTCATTTTAGAGTTTTTGAACCAAACTTGTTAAATAAAAATATTTAATATTTATATTAGAGTAATTTGATTTTTTAATACAATAATTTTTAATATAAATGATCCACATGATCTTTGTTTTATCACAACATGATGCGACTCATTGAGTAAAACATGTTGTATAGTAGCTTTATAAATTGATTTTGTTCGGTGTACCAACCTCTATGGGGGCTCATATGGCTCTTTTCATATTGGCAATGTAAAACCAAAAGCAACAATAAATTGTTATATGTACCAGCAACGTTAAATTCTACAAAGAAATTCGATAAACATTATAATTAAAGTGCATTGCTATAACCATAAACATCAAATTCAGACATTGTAATTTGGTCAATTTCTAAAGTATTTTTTTCTTATAAGAATTAAAATATGATTTTTCAGGCTACACCCTATCACATATATATATCTTTCGATCAAAGAAATTATTACAAAAAAAAAGACATGTTATGAACAAAAATATATCATTAGTTTCATAATTTGCCAAAGGTTAACACTAAAAAATTATAATGAACTTTCACAAATCTTGTATTTTGGTCACTACATCCAACTAACAAATGAAATTCAATTTAGAGGATTGATTCAAGAAGTGCATCCATGGCTTCTTGTAGCTGAATTTGGGGAAATGCTAAGACCTACTGAGATATGAGGGAACGGTCTGTGAGACTACGGTTGGTTTCTGGAGGGCAATACAGATTCAAAATCATTAGCACATATCTTTCCTACCTACTTCGATTATCAAATTTAGATCAAACTTGTCAAAATCAATTTACAAAAAAAAAAAAAAAAAAAACTCAGATATGTAACCTAGCAATCAAACAACATATTTTTCATAGAAATAAATATCACAAATCTACAATTTACATTTTATATAATATTCTTAAATTATATCTTACATTTTCATTTTTAATGGTCATTAACACCTCTTTCTGTCCTATTGTAGTGACACAAAATAACTATAACGTACACACATGGTTAATCGTACCGACAACAATCAATGTTTTTTTTTCTAAGAAATATTGATGTAAGTTTAAATTATATAATAAAAAAAGTAAAATGAAATATGAGGGTAAAAATAATCCAAAAACTATTTGACATAATGTATATTTCATAATTGAAAGTTAAGTATATAAACTCCATCTACTTGTTGGAGATCAAACTTATGAAGGAAAATCGTCATTTGCAGAGTAGAGGATGGAGGACGAAGCGTTTCTACAATTAGCAGATGTGCTTTCTGGACTGGATTTGACAAGAAATATTAACAATTAAGAAGATGTTATTTTTGTTGCTTTAAAATAGGATCATTGATGAAGATCCTAGTCGTAGTGAAGCAATTTGTGACGGAGAAACGTTATGAAACGATGCATAATGAAGTTGGTATAAATGTATATTCATTTATAGTAAAAGGAATAATAATATTTTGAAATTTTTTTAAGGTGTAAGTTGTTAATCATAGTATGAACAAACCTCTATAATAAGATATTTTTTCCGCATTGAATAACAACTATCATACGAGTTTGTTTCTTATTTTCCAAATAGTCAGCAAACTGTTGTGCATACCCATCCCAGAGTGTTACATTTATTTGTTTGCTTCTACAAAAGCCAAAAACATAATAAATATACAATATAAAATGACATTATAAAGTAAAATTTGACACAAAATTTCGAAAAGTGAACATACTCTAGATCTTCCAAGCTCAAATTGACTCTCTTTGATAATTTATTTTTCTTGTTCATAAGGGTTTCCATTGGGAAGCATGTCACAACATCTCCAATAACATCTATTATATAAGATAAAAAATGGAAGATTAGTATAAAAGTTTCGTTATGGTGAGTGATGGTAAATAACAAAATATCGTTATATAGATCGTTAGATTGTAACATATAAACTAACCAACATGTGTGTTCTAAATAAAAACACCATCCAAAATGGCGTTGAAGTTTGCCAAAGAGAATCCATAAAGTAATCCAGTCCACTGACTGCATGGTGTAACTTTGGTTGTGATATAAATATTGATTTTGTTTTCATTATCAACAAAACTATTTTCGTTTTGATTAATACCAAGTTGTGGATTTTGGATGTAGTAACAACCATCCTCATGAAACAAACTTTAAAATCTTTCAACCTATCTATTGGTAACCTCTGTCTCGATCTTCATTCCCTAAATGCACAGTTATATATTGTTATATGTGGTTCGAATGAAATTGTAAGAAAATTCATAAAAAAATGTTATTATATGTTCATCAATGAGAATCATATTAGTTTTATAAGTCTTTGTTGAAGATCCATAAGCAAGATGTTTCATGAGACAGATTATTCTTACTCTCATGGTAAATTGACTTTTTGAAACATCAAGTTGGTCTATGAAGGTAATGTTGCTTTGAGCCATGTTTCTGTTTGTGAAAAAACTAATGATTGTTAAACACATGTGACCCAACCAAGTAATTAATATGGACCGGGTAAAATAGGCAAAACAAGAACAATTCAAAATCATAGGATCGAAGTGAAAATATAGTTTTAGGGACGAAATTTATAACTTTTTGACATAACTCAAGGACGCCGAATGTAATTTAGTCTAAAACACATAATGTAGAAAGTCTTTTATATGTAATCAAAATCAAAATTATAAAAATAAAATAAAATTCTTATCATCCAAATATGAATGATGTTATATATACTTTTAAAAAACCTCATAATGCAAACTTGACAATAAAGTAAGTATAAATAGTTTTTTGTTGATGCTCATCAGAAAACATATCAAGCAGTAGAAGGGGGCATCAGTGGTAGGGGTAGGGGTATTTCAGGTAAAGAGAATGTATACATAGATGTTGTTCCGCCCTCATTCATCATGCAAATAAAATTCAATGTAACAGAGTATTTTTTTTATATGGTGTATAGAAATATACCAGTTCCATTCATTGATATATACCATTGTATTTGATTCATGATTACATTTAGTAACCCTCACATATTAAGAACATCGATTACACAAGTTTCAGGAATGTTGCAAACAGAGGATATAACGTTGATTATACACAGACTCGTAAACAAACATAGGTGAACACATTAAAAAATCGATATAAAGGATATAATTTTGTTTTTGTAACTAAATGAATGAAACTAATATGCTTAAAGTAGATTGATTAATTTTTTTTATGACCTCTCAACAGAAATACAGTAATAACAGGTAATAAGAACAAAGTAAATGCAAGAAATTGGAGAAGAAGAAGGAGAACAAAGTAAAGAAAGAACCTGGTAAAAGGAATTGGAGAAGAAGACCGCTGAAGAAAACACTGTAAATCGTAGGACACAATCTAAAATCCTAAGAATAACAAATTTAATGTAATCATATATATAGGGTGTTTTTGAATAAAAAAATCATTATCTTCCAAAAAAATTGGGATCCTAAGATATCATCTTGGAGATTTTCGGCTATTCATTTGGAAAAAAAGGAAGATATCAGTTATACCGATTCAAAATTTTAAATTAATTGACTTGCTTATTTAATGAGTTTTAAAATTCAAACCAATATCTCAAATTGATTCATTTTATGTGGGATATATTAGGGGATAAATTATGAATAATATTGACCTTAATTTTGACACTAAAATATTTTATTGATTTAATGGGATCTGATTAGATTTTATAAGTTAATAACTAAATTATTGATATACTTATTTAATGAGTTTTTTCAAAAAAAAAAAGAGTTAAACGGATTTGAATTTTAAAGCCAAAAGCTATAAAGAAGGGAGTTAAATTAGGAACATTATTAATTAGAGAAACTGATATCTCGTATATAAATAGAATGATATGCTGATAACATAGTTGTTGAATTTAAAGATTCTATAATTATTAAAGATTTTATAATTAAATGTAATTGCGTTTGAATTTTTTTTTTGGAAGATGATGTCAGCAATTTGATATAAGGATGAAAAACATAAGATTGAAATACAATCATTGACCCTGATTGCTTCATTGCTGAATTAAGGGTTCTCTTTTAATAATATTTAGAGATGTCATTATTTGATATTTCATATAATTGAAAGATATACCAAATTACATTGATGATATACTAAAATAATTCAAAGTTGCCAAAACTAATGCAAAGTTCTTGCGAACACCAAATAAATAAGAACAAACATAAAAGCTAGCATTTATATTCATAATCAATTTAAAATAAACCAATCATGATTTTAGAAAAGAATCTCCATTGATGATATACTAAAATTAAATCCATATAACATTTAACATTCTATAAATTATATTATATGACTTTATTTGAATAAATGAAACAGTTGTCAATATTTAATGCAATGGAAAAAACGGTATATTGGTTGTCAATATATGTTTAAATTAGGTAACCTTATTATGGAAGGAACGTCTAATTAAAATGCTTATAATTATATAACAATATCATAACTATATGAGACGAGGAAAGTCTTTCAACTAATAAAACAAAAAATGTTGTCTACAAAGAGGTCCTTCAATGATTATAGATATTTATCGTTTTCAATGTATTTTCTACACATTTCAATAATACCAATAACCATATATTTTTTTTATGATCATTATACAATATCTGTAGACAATTATATGTTTTTTATGCGTTTCCCGCGTTTAACGCAGACTATAATCTAGTTAAGTTTAAAATATAAACATTAAAAACATCCTATTTAAGTAAATTATCATTTTAATTAATTTTAATGAATTAAAAGCTATAAGCCTATAAATAACTAAATAATTATACCTATTGAATCCAGTAAATTTGATAAAAACGTGAGGCCTATATAAATTATCAATTTGGGGGAGTTAACGCACATACACAGACAGGGATAGCAAAATCAAAATCCTAGGGTTTCCACTTCCCTGTAGATCAACGCCATGCCGAAGAACAAGGGAAAGGGAGGAAAGAATCGCAAGAGGGGTAAGAACGAAGCCGATGATGAGAAGCGAGAGTTGGTGTTTAAGGAAGATGGTCAAGAGTACTCCCAGGTACTCCGTATGCTCGGAAACGGCCGTTGCGAGGCCATGTGCATCGACGGCACCAAGCGTCTCTGTCACATCCGTGGTAAGATGCACAAAAAGGTCTGGATCGCCGCCGGTGACATCATCTTAGTCGGTCTACGTGATTACCAGGATGACAAAGCTGACGTCATCCTCAAGTACATGCCTGACGAGGCCAGGCTTTTGAAGGCTTACGGTGAGTTGCCGGAGAATATTAGGCTTAATGAAGGTATCGCTGGTGGACTTGATGAGGAGGATGATAACGCCGGTGATGATTACATTGAGTTTGAAGATGAAGACATCGACAAAATCTAGGGTTTGTAAACAATTTCACTCTTTTCCAATTTCATGAGATTTTTCCTTGAGTATTTTGTCTAATTGTTTCAATTTCGGATTACAGCGTCTGGAACAACGAAATCTTTGGTTTGGATTGGGCTATCACAACAGACATTGTGCGAGTTTGAAGAAAAAGGTAAAGATTAGCGTTTATACAAAATGAGCTCATTTAATATGATTTGCTTTATGATTATGAAGTATAAAATCTTCATATGTAAGCTTATGGTTTATGTTCTTGGTTGTATTGCTTATTAAATTCAATAATCGATGATCTGCTTTCAGACCAATATTTGTGTGGATGATTTTTCTTTAAAATTAAATACAATTTGCAATATTCTGTTAGATCCCATTTCAATTAGTGGAATTTGTGTGTTGAATCTATTGTCTAATCATTTCTATTATATAGTACAAAATTATCTAATGCTGACCAAATACTGCTAATTTAATCTGTGCATTTTCTTCCAAAACAATTTGAATGCAAGTAAACATTCTGCAATTCCATTGTTGCTGGAGCTAGTAAATATGGATTATGATTTAACCTGATGGCAAGTAGTTTAAGGTACATGTTTGCAGGAGTTCAATCTGTAGGGTAATCTGTGAAAGTGATTTTGGATATTAGGTGGAATCATATTCTTGAAATTTAAACCATTGTTCGAGAGGTAATTGAGAATGTGTTTTAGTTTGATCCTGAGAATCTGATTCCATTCCAGTGATTTTGAGAATTATTGATAGGCCTTCCTATTTCTAAGCCATATTGAAAGTGAATCTTATTCCCTGAATATGATGCCTATCTAGTTGAGGCAAGTTATTATAGGAATTTTATGCAAGATGTCTAATGAATCTTTTCCATTCCAATCACATGTTGCATTCTGTTATTTGAAACACCTTTTGTTTCTCCATCTGCTTTCTCCCTTCTTGCTCTTGAATTCCATTCCATTTCCTGCTAACTGAAGTCGATTCTTTAGAACCAAAGCCTCTAAATTTAATTTCTTTCAACATATTTCTATTTCCTTCTAAAACATTTAGTGAAATGAATACCCTTTATTGTTTCATAGCATCCAACTAGGGTTGGTTCTAAAAATACATATCGGATAGTAAAAAATACCCATCGGGTAATTAGTTATAGTCGTGGGAGGAGGAGCAGGCATTTGGTATTCCATTTATGATTTAAAAATGTTAAAATTACTTGTTGAAATCCTGATCACAATCTCAATGACCAATATTATGTAATTATAATAATAACACTATACAAAATTTGTAATATCCGAATTTAATGACAGGCTAATCAAGATCATAAATCATATATAGGATTTTTTTTCCATTTTGTAATATCGTGATCGTGAAACAACTTAACATATAAGAAATACATTTTCGACCATCAGTTATTTCTGTTAACAATAAATAGTTTAAAAACAATTGCAGAAATGGTCCGTGGTTGGTAAAATTATGTGGTTTTAGTCCAAAATTTTTTGATTGTGCACAATTGGTTCAAATTTAGGTCTTTTTAATGATTTTGGTCCCTATGAGTTTGAATAGATGATTATATATATATATATATATATATATATATATATATATATATATATATATATATATATAAACAAAAACTGTTAATTAATTAAAAACAAAAAAGGCTCTCTCTCTCTCAAATCATCTTCTTTCTATCTCTTTTCATAACACACACTAACACATATTATCAAGAACACATACACAATCTCAAGTACACCTCCACTTCCATATTCGTCGCGACCACATCGGCCGCCAACCACCTCCATCTCATCCACCCTAATACCCTATATATTCTTACTTAATCCGATGAAACTTGACAACCAACCATCACACAACTGTTCGCGTACAAATCCTCAATAAGTCAAAGCCATGTATGAACCCACCGATGATTTGCATCGGGGATCACATACACACACAAGAATAAACATTCATTTTCAGGGTTGTCTCTTCAAGAACAGTTGAATTTATGGGTTTGTTTCTAGAACTGGAAATCGATTTCTAAATCTAAAAAAAGTCTATGGGTGATGGGTTTTCAAGATCGATTTCTGAAAAATTGACTTTGTTTGTGTATTTTCATATCATTTCTAGGTTTAGGGATTAATTTAGAAGAATGGTGGATCAACGAACATTTTGGTTGATCGGAGGTACTAACGCTCATTTGGTTGCTGTTCTTCCTGAATGTGGTTGTCGGAATCGAAATCTCGTTCACATTGACGTCAAAATCCTATGGAGATGATGAAGATGATGGGTTTGTAGATTCGTTCACATTGACGTCAAAATCGATAACTATAATGATGGTGAACTTGATTGCTATAACTGTAGGGTTCAACCGGATGATCTACTGTTGTACAATGAATTCGTTTTCTTGGAGGTGTGTTCTTCAATTTTTGGTTTTTGGCATATCTGTACCTATTTGCAAAAGGGTTGATAGGAAGAAGAGGGAGAACACCAACAATTATGTGTGTGAGAGAGAGAGAGAGAGAGAGAGAGAGAGAGAGAGAGAGAGAGAGAGAGAGAGAGAGAGAGAGAGAGAGAGAGAGAGATTTCCTTTTTTTAATTAAAAAATAAGAAATTAATTAAAAGAATTAGAAAGGAATTATCTAAGGGTATATTTATTATTTTAGGTTGGGTCTGAAACAAAAACACACAAAAATATCAATCGTAAAGACCAAAACCTTACGAGGTATCCAAAATTGGACCACTAATGCACCACCAATTTTTTTTGGACCAAAACCATAAAATTTTCAACCACAGGGATCATTTTTGTAATTTTGTTTAGTTTAAAACATGAAAATGCATATCTAAAAAAGGTTTTTTAAGATTCATATTCGATTTACTTAGTCAAAAACAATATATATATATATATATATATATATATATATATATATATATATATATATATATATATATATATATAGGTTCTATGGAAAACAGAAAACCCTAAAAATCATAAAAATGCATAAAAAAAATACTTAGAGTTCACAAAAATTTTTTTTGAATTTTTTATGAAAAAATCGTATGTTTTTAAATAAATTCGCTGATTTTTTTTGAAATTAAAAAAAAAAAAGTTGATTTTTTTTTCAGCGAATTTATTAAAAAACCTGCGATTTTTTTATAAAAATATTAAAAAAAAAGTTTTGTAATCTTTAAGTATTTTTTTTTATGATTTTTAGGGTTTTTTTGTTTTCCAAATAACCCTTCCAAATAATCGATTTACACAAACTTTTCATTTATAATATCACATACAATATTTTAATATAATTTGAAAACCAAATATATTAATATTGGAAGTATAAGTATTATAAAAATATAAATGGTTCATAAACAAATGATAAAGATCGAGTATTTCGATAAGTCTAACCTAATACCATTACCATCTTAAACCCATAAATTTCTTTAGAAAAAAATCTCATACCATTACCTGGCCCAAAATCTATCCCAAAACTTCTGACTTCAATTTGTCTGCCAAGTTCAAGTATTTTTCTCATCCCTAAAATGGATAAGTCTGTATAATAGAACACTGGGTAAACTGTAAGTTTAAAATGGGCCGCACAAGTTGTACTAATGAAAACCAATTAGGTTTTATCGGGTTTTTAGAGTAGAATAATCAAATAGTATTATATTTGTTTCTTAAAATAAATACAATTTTTTTTGTCCATTTATAAGTTAACACAATGCAATCTTGGTAGACAAGTATTTAATTGCAATCAAATATATATTCTTGTTATATTTATATAAAAGAAAAAAATAGGACAACATATACAAAAATAATATATTAGGAAGCTAAAACTTATAATAATGTAAGGTATTCCTATGTGTTCCTTTCTTTTTTATTTATTAGTCGGATCTAGTATTTATTGTTGTTTAGGTCATCATCTTCTTGGGTAAGTGGGGATGCTGTATGTACACTATTTATTATTATTATTATTATTATTATTATTATTATTATTATTTTGGGTAAATTACACGGATGGTACCTGTGGTTTGGGGAACCTGTGCGTTTAGTCCCCGAGCAAGATTTTAAACTCGGAAGATCCCTAATGTTAAAATTCGTAACCCGCCTGGTCCATCACTTAATATGCCGTCTGTTTTGTGGTCAGAAACCCCCCACGTGACAAGCACGTTGGGGGTATTTTTGTCTTTTCATATCTCCTAGGCTTTAACCTGGCTTATTCGTCTTCATCCCTCATTTCTTTCTCAATCTATGAAAAGAAACCCACGTAGGGCGTTTTATGCTTGCCCGTTACAGGTATGATGCTTTTGGGGGATTTTCTATTGTAACCCTAGTATGTGTATGTGCTAATCGAAGCTATTAACAGTACAAGGACCATGGTCTAGATTTATTAAGTGGGTAGATGAAGAAAAGCATGGTCATGAGGCGGAAATAAAAAATGAGAGTTCAAATCCGAATTCAAGAACTTAAAGTCCAAAATCGGAATCTGAAGACATTGTTAATAATCAGTTCGTTTTTGTTTTTTGGGATAATTGTTTACAAGTTGTCGTGTTAGGTTTAAAATCAAGTGATGTAGTTGCAGTTGTTTACAATGCATTGTAATGAATCTTATTTGTATAATGAATCTTATTTGTATCAAGGGTACCCTTTTATCAATGAAAGTGATATTATGTTGAACTTTATTGTATTTTACAAATTTTGAAGTATATTGGGACCATATTATGCAGATGAGCAAAACAAATGACCAAAAGCAATCACCAAAAAATGAGCAAATCAAATGACCAAAAAAAGCAATCCCAAAAGCAATCAAAAGATTACATTGTTTGTCAAAAGCAAAGTACATTGCTAAAACTAGATACTACAATTAAAACATTGTTTGTCAAAAGCAATCAACACAACCATGACAACATATAACATAGTTCAAAATAAAACAATGTTTGTCAACATCTACCATGAACTGTTCCAAAATATTTTTACCGACTTGATATTTCCCATTACCACATAAAACAACCCTTGATTGTGTAGCCTATTTCTTTAGTTTTCCAACCCATATGGTAGCTGTAGGAGTCAAGGGACTTGTAGCTTTATCAATTTCCTTTTGCACATTTACAATTTTCTTCATTAGGTACTCTCTAATGAACTCCAAACATGTAATGATTGGTACATCATGACCTTCAACAATTTTGCTATTCAGAGATTCACACATATTGTTAAGCATAGCATCTGTATGAGCTCTACATGATCAATCATTAACAATGCATCCGTCATTGTTACAAACTAATGATCTAACATTAATATCTACATGTGAAGTGTCAACGAGACCAATGTTAGGAGACATCTTTTTAAGCCACTCATACACATCATTATTAAGTTTTCTAAGTTCCTCTATTGATCGTTGAAATTGTTGAACATTAGATGCTTTTGCACAATCCCATAGCAGATCTTTGAATTGCTTTGCCTTCCAACTACGTTTCATGTTGTCATGGATATGACGAAGACGATAATGATGCTCAACGCATGGAAACAACTTTGTTATAACATGTAACACCTCCTATACATGGAAAATCTGTATTAAAATATACCCTATATAATGTATTAATTTGATATTCTAATTAATACCCTTTGTTTGTCTGTTATAAATGTAAAATTTGAGTTGGTTCCTAAACCCAAATCATCCCCTAGACAAGTTAGAAACCAAGTCCATGAGTTGGTACTCTCAGTTTCCATAATAGCATAAGCTAATGGATATGTTCCATTATTACAATCAATTCCCTACACAAGTAAACATTTCAAAATTAACCTAAAATACAATTGTTTAAAAAAATAAATGTAGTTCATATGAAAAAAGGTTACCACAGTTGAAAGTATTTGTCCTGGGTATGGACCCTTCATAAAAGCACCATCAAGACCAAGAAAGTCTCTTCTTCCAACATCAAATCCCCTTTTTAAAGGACCAAGACATATATATACGCACTTGAAATTTCTAGTTTTTGTATTTGGATTTGGTTCACTCTCTACATCAATTTTCACAGTCGTGTCTGGGTTATGTTTTTGAAGTTTGAGAACATAATCTCTCAATAGAGCATACTGACCCACATAATCCCCTCACACCTGATTGAGAGCTTCAGTTCTAGCCCTAAACACTTTCATCTTGGAAAGTCCCACTTGGTAATCACGTTGTAGTTGTTCTTGTAAAGCACGAATTGGAATAGTTGGGTTAGATTCCACCTGAGTTGCAATTTCTTTGGCGAGAAACTTATAAGTACAAGCTTTAACATTCCGAGTTTGGAGACAATGATGTTCTTTGTTATAATATTTGACCATCCAGTTTATATCATTTTTCCATTTAATTACTAGCATAGAGGCTCCACGAGCACTTCTCTTCATCTTTATTGTTGACTTCTTGTTGACCTTCCCCGCTATTGTCTTGGTTTCCCAGTTTTGGTATTGCCCCCCTAAACAAAACTATTACCCTATTCTTGTCATTTTTTTTTCAAAATCAAGTTCCCTTCTTGTCTCGATAGCATGAAGTTTAACTCTTTATTTAAACTCTTGGGTTATATTAAAGGTTTGAAGGATTTATGTAACACCGTAAATTTTAAAACAATTTTTCGCTTTTAAAAGTGTAATTTCATTCATAAATATTCTCAAATCTCAATGTATCACATATCGATTCATAAAAACACATCCCAAGATCACAATGTATAAAAACTCCAATAGTGTGTACTGATCATGTCGGCGCCTTCCCGCGATCCTCACTGGTACCTGAAACACATAACACAAAACACTGTAAGCATAAATGCTTAGTGAGTTCCCCAAAATACCACATATAACACATATTAGCCACTCCAGGCTGTAACTCTGTAGAGCCTCCGATCCTAACTCTGTGGACCCTCTGGTCCTAACTCTGTGAACCTTCAGGTTCTAACTCTGTAAACTCTGGAACATACACGGCATGAATCACATAGAAATAATGCAGTGTATCACAATCACATAAATAACATACAAGATACTCTGTCACATAACTCTAATTACCACTCTAGGTAAAGTATAGTGAGAAGACTCACCTCGGGTAACTCGGTAAATCTCGAACTCGGTAAAATCCGGTCTAGCCCCCGCCTAATCACATGGAATAAGCACTCTAATCAATACAATCCTCAAGGCTAGACTGATCCCTCTCTTAGTACTCTTAGAAGGGTAAAAGACCATTTTACCCCTCTCATGGCCCAAAGACCCTAACATTGACCAAACCCTAAAAGTCAACAAAAGTCAACGGTCAAACTTTGACCGGACTCGCCGAGTGCACTCGTGTGTCTCGGCGAGTACATGCTTGTCCTCTTCGCCCCTGGTCCTCACTCGACTCGCTGAGTCAACCCTACACTCAACGGGTCATCACAGGTCGCGATTCGCGGGGCAACCCGACGCGACTCGTCGAGTCCCTTATGGGCTCGGCGAGTTCCTCCCATGAACACACTCAAAAGATCTTTTGAGGTCAGATCTGCTTCACCAACCAGT